GACAAAAGCCTGCCGCCCGAGCTGCTGGGTATTGATGCACTGGGGTGGGTTGCCGCTAGGCGTCTCTGCCCTGTACAGCGCCTTGCATGGCGCAACGCACGGCTTGAGCAGAGAGACATCAGCATCGTAGCATCACGCGCTGCTCTCCCCCTGGTGGGAAACGCAGTCATATGTATGGCAGACGTTGGCAGACACAATCCACGTCGGCACGGTGTTGAAGCCCACCTGCTCAGCTATCAGTGAGTCGCTGGCACCGATCATCTCCTGGTTCTCAGCAAACCATGCCAGGCGTGACTCTAGAGCTGCCACCTACAAAAGATGGATGGGTTGAAGGATCTTAATCCAAATTATGCGTTCACAGGCTTTGTCGGTGGGTGATTCTAGACTCGAAACAGCAGGCACAGCATGAGACAGCGAGCACATGCACATGCGCGGGTGGGGCGAGGTTAGGCAGGGCTGCTGCACAATGGCATGAGCACCCGCCTGCTCCGCGTGCGCGCGCGCCATAGCCTCCATCTCAGCACGCACGGCCGCCACCAGGGCGTCGCCTTCCTGCGCAGCGGGTTCACGTGCATGCGAGTCGGGGGTGGACACCTGTAGCAGGCATGGGTTGACCAACCCTGGGTCCAAGTTGGCCGGACACTGCCGGCTCACATGTATTGCACATCAGCACATGTGACCGTTCAGCTACCAACTGTCAATGGTTTGTTGGCTCCCTGGATGGTGCTGCTCACGCAGTCAAGCGCCACGCTCAAATTCAGCCGCCGCACCTCCATGGCCCGCAGGTCCACCCCGGCCGCGCGCGCCTCCAGCTCGCGCTTCTCCTGCCTCAGCCGCGCGATCTGGCCCCGTAGCTCCGCCTCGCGCTCGGCGGCCGCGTCCTGCGCCGCCTGGAGCGCCGCCTGGGCATCCAGCAGCTGCGACGGGCGGGCGGTTGCGGACAGGCTGCTTGCGCCCATCCCAACCCACGGCAAGAGCGTGTCCCGCTTTCACCGTGGTCGCCTTAGTGGCTTCTGTGCTGCCAATCAAGTTGCTGTCGTTGATAGCAGATTCAACAGGAGCATGCACAAATGGGTTGTAACCCACTTGCTGGCATACTCTGTGGGGCGATGCCTACCCGATGCCTGAGGCCGCCTTGCCATCACGGCGTCGGCCGCAGGTGTGGGTCCTGCGTGCCCACCTTCTGCAGCCGCTCCGCCGCCTCCGCGCCGTGCCGACGCTCCTGCTCCTGCGTCGCCGCAAAGTGCCGCTCCAGGCGACCGGCCTCCGCCACCAGCACCGCGCGCGCCTGGCTCAGCTGCTGCTCCAGGTCCTGGCGCAAGTGGGGACGGATGCGGCGTTCGAGGGGGGGGCTAATGAGGGGCCTGCGGCTGTGCTTCAACACACTCCTCGACTTGACAGCTTGCCTTGGACTGCTGCACGCTCTTCAAATCAACACACACACACACACGTACGCACGCACGCACACACAGAGAGAGAGAGTGTCGGGCGCCACACCAAGCTGTGCGGAGCAGTCAGCGCAAGCAAGCGCTGCGGTAGCTCTCACCTTGATGCGCCGCGTCGCCGCCTCGTTCTCCTGCTGGTAAGCCCGCAGCAGCGCCGCGTCTTCCGCGCCCACCGACGCCTGCAGCGCCTCCGAACCCGGACTCCCCCCGCCTCGCGCGGCCCCGCCGCCGCCGCTCCCCGCCCCCGCGCCGGCCGCCGCGGCGGCCTCGAGCGCGGCGGCCTTGGCGCGCAGGAGCCCCACCTCCCGATCCCGGTCCGCCCGCTGCGCCTCGTGCCAGGCGCGCTCCTCTGCGCGCTCCGCCGCCGCGGCCGCCATCTGCTCCTCAGCGGCCTCGCGGGCGCGCAGCGCGCGCTCCAGCTGCCCCTCCAGCCACGCCACCTTCCCTCGCATTTCTGAGATCGCCTGCCGCAGTGCCGCCGCGTCGGCGGGGCCGGCGAGCAGCTGGGCGCGCTGCGCGGCAGACTGCGCGACGGCGTCGTCGCGGGAACGGGCGGCTGGGGCGCGGTGGGGCGGCGAGGGGCTGGCTGCACGGAGCGGGCTTGCTGGTAGCGAGTCCTGCTGCTGCTGCTGCTGCTGCTGCTGCTGCTGCAATTTCTCATTTGCTTCTGCCATATCCTCCACTTCATCCTGCTGCTGCCTCTGCTGTTGCCGCTCCGCCCGCTGCAACTGCAGCGCCTCTTGTTGCTGCAGGTGCATTTGTTCCCGAGCGCGCTGCTGCTCATCGTTCTGCTCCAAATCAGCCCGCTCTTGACAATTACGCTGCTGCCATTCATTCAATCCTTCTGTGCCTGCCGATTTTTTCTCTGTGCTCTGCGGGTCACATGACGCGTTCGTGTTGTCGGAGCTAGAAGCGGCACCTGAGTCGCCCGCTCGCGCTGCCCTATGCCCCACAGCAGTGGCCTCCTCGCAGCCTGCGTCCGATGCGGCAGCAACAACAGAGGTCACCAATCCTAGGACGGACGCTCCTATCGCAAAGCCCTGACCCTCGTCCACCTCGCTTGGCGCGCGATCTGACATCGATGACTTCCGCTGGGCAAACGTGTTGCAACTGTTCACATTGTAAAGACCATGCCAGTACCGTATTGTTCTGCAGCACCATGTGCATGGCGCGGAGTTGCAACGTACCGGTAAACCTGACTCAACAACAGGTGGGTGGGGGGGGGGCCGCGCAGAGGGCCAAGCTACATCATCGGCATCCCTGTGTCACCGGTGCATCGACACCGTGCCCCAAAGGCATATTTCCTGCCTCACAAGCCCGTTCCTGGTGAGTGTCACGGTTACATCAGTTCCATAGCGTCATGCAAGCCAGCGACCGTTGCTTATCTTCCTATGCGCCCAGCACGCTCAGGGCCGCCTCGCCCCGGCGGCATCTAGTTGCCTTTCTTTGCGGGCGTCACGCCCGCGCGCTCCTGCTGCAGCCGCGCGTCCGCAAGCGCGCCGAGCGCCTTGTACCCTACCGCCGCCGTGACCGCCCCCAGGCCCAGCGCGGGGGGCAGGGTCTGGGCCAGGTTGAGCCGTGTCCAGAACAGCCAGTAGAGGACGAGGATGGACGCAATGCCGCCGTGGAACAGCAGCGCCCACAGCGACCCCGCGCCCGTAGGGAAGTTCTGCAGGCCCAGGCCGCCCGTGGCCAGCAGGAACAGCAACAGCAGCGCCAGCGGCGCGAGCGCGAGCGCGGTGAACACGAGGGAGACGGCCGCGGCGGGGCGCTTGTCCGGTTGGCGCTGCAGGGGGGGCGGGGGGCGCGGGCAGGGGACGGTGGGGCCAGGTTATCGGGCGCGATTTCAGGGGTGAGCATTTGGCCAGGGGTCCCATTTGCAAGGCACGGATACCCTTGGCAGCATGTTATGCAGGCGCCTGGGTCGAGCGCGTCCTTGGCACAGGCCCTAGCTGGGCCACTCACGAATATGTGGGCGATGTTGGGCAGCACGTTGCTGATGGGCTGCACCAGCGCGGTGCGGTACACAGGGCTGGGTTGCAGCCCCGCCTCCGCCGCCGGCAGCTTGACCGTGCCCAGCTCCCAGCGCACGCCCTTGGGCGCGGCCGGGTCGCCCAGCAGCAGCGTCACGGACAGCTTGCCGCCCTGCGGGGCGACAAGGATAGAGAGCGGCAACAATCAGCGGTGGGCAATCATGGCGAGCCAGTTTCCAAGCCATCGCGGCACAGCCCCGCTCTCTTCAGGCTGATTATGGCGTGATCAAAGCCCGCACGCACGGCCCCGTGCCCGACCCCCAGCGCCCAGCCCCGCCACCAGCAGGCGCCCCCACACGAGCTCCCCCAGCGGCCGGAAACACACCAGCGAGCCCAGCTGCTTCTCCACGAGCGCCTGCGACAGGCTGACGACGTGCGCCCCATCCTTCCGGGCCTTGGCCACCGCATAGGCGGAGAGCCCCTTATGGGCCTTGGGCTGCAGCAACAGCATCGCCTGCTGGGGCTTCGACGCGGCCCCATCCGCCTGGGGCGTGAACGTCACCTGCGCCGTGGCGCGTGGTGCGGCGGTGCGGCGGTGCGGCGGCGGCTGGGCTGAGCTGCTCTCCTCCGCCGCACTCTCCCAACGCGCTGGGCTGCATTCGACATGCGCGTGCGTTGGGCACCGCGGACGCTAGCTGCTGCATCGCCCCCGATGCGAAGCGATCTGCCCATAAAAGCTACAGGCTCCATTGCAACGCCCCCCTGTTGCTGTGCAGCTGGAACATCGACGCCCTGCATGCTGCAGACAGATACAAGCCAGCCTCGCCGGGGGCCGACGACCCCATTTCCATGGATGGCTCAGCTGCGCCCACTGCCCCCGACCCTCCCGCGGCCCCGTTGGCACCTCAATAGAAGCGCCGGCCTCCAGGGAGACGCCGTCCAGCAGCGCTTGGCCATAGTCGGCCGCCTTGCGCGACAGCCGCTTGCCGCTGGCAGCGATCACCTCAGCCTCTGCAGCGCCGACTGACAGCACCACTGCTGTCGTCGCCTTTGCTTTCTTTGGCTGGGCAGGCCTGCGGGGGCGGATGCCGCACGCATGACACGAGCCGCAGCAGTTGAATGCTGCCGCGAATGGCTGAGTACGGAGGGTAACGACGCAAGGCTTGCACCAGGCAGAGCATCAACTGCAAACCGCGCTTACGTCGGGGGCTCCTCTGCTGCCGCAGCGGGGTCCGGAATCGAGTTGGCGTCACCTGCCACATCTTCCTGTGCCTGTGCGTTGCGAGAGCAGAGGAGAAGTGATGATAAGCCAGATCAAGGCAAGGAGGATACCGATCACCTCAGGGCTGCCCGTTGATCGCTACTCACTATGATGCACAAGATACTGGTGGCCAGGAGGCACAGCAGCAACCAGTGCTGCGCCCTCATGGCTCGATCACGATGTTTGTACAATGCAGATCACTTCTGAGACCGGCTCGCACAATGGGGTTGGTCGGACGACAGACAATTCCAGATTATTAGCCAGTTGGCTGGGCCCTGGTGATGCACCTGCCCAACACGCACTCTCAATGGATATTGAAGCGGCGGCCCCGTCAGCAGCCAAGGATCGCACGCAGAATGGTGTCCTTGATTGTAGTACACCGCTATAATGTTTTGGTAGGGGGATTGTTGTACGTGGGCGCTGCCCTCCCGCCACAACAGCAGCGTGTTGCAAAGGCAGTTGAGGGCGCGAACGACGAAGTCTCCTGACTACGGCAGGGTGAGGCAGCACAGCTACCTGAATCAAGAATAGCGGGTCGTTCAGCAGCTGGAGTGCTCGGCTCTTCTCTTACGCTCCGAACACGGCAATCCGCATGGAGCAGTGGAACGAATTTATTGACGAGCGTGCCAGCCCTCGAAAGAGGTCCGAGGCGAGTGCAGGACTATTAGGCCTTGCGGGAGCATGCGCCGCTCTCTGGGCCGTCGTCCTGGTGTGCTGCGATACTGCGGTCAACCCGGCGCTCGTTGGCGGGGCCCCGGTCTCCGCAGCGGCCATGGTTGATGTCATGGTTACTGCTGTGGAAGCCGATTGCTCAATGGCGCGCGTTGGCGTGACGGTCAGGGTGGTGCCGAGCGTGACGGCCGCGCTGCCAGCGGTGCAGCCGCAGCAGAGCCGCCCGCCTGCCACACTGCGGCTGCGGCTCAGCGGCGGCGTGTCGCACGACCTGCCATGGCCGCCCGGCCCGAACGGCTCTGGCGCGGCAGCGTTCGAGGTCACCACGTCGCTGGCCGCGGTGGCGGGGCAGAGGCTCAAGCCGTTTGACGCCTACACCCTGGCGCTCTCGAGTGCAGCGGCTGTCCTGGAAACCTGCCACCAACCAGAGGGCAGCAGTGGCGGCACCGGCATCGGCAGTGACAGCAGCAGTGACAGTGACGGCGACAGCAACAGCAACAGCAACAGCGGCAGCAACGGCGACGACGGCGGTGGCGCCAACAGCACCGATGCCGCTCGGCACCACCCCGCCTGCACGAGCGTCCAGCTCCCAGTGCACATCGCGTTCGTCGGCAGCACCGCGCGCGGCTTCCGCATCACGACGCTGCCTGCGCTGCCCAGCGGCGCCGCCGCCACGGGCTCCGCGGGCGACCTGCTGGTCTCACGCGAGACCAGTCAGCGCACGCTGCGCCTGATGGCCCTGATAATTCAATGGGCTTTTGCAGGGTACGCTCTTGCGTGGGCCACCGGCGCGCTCATGAGCCAGTGGGTGATGCGTATCGCCTTTGCTCGGGTGCACTCCTTGCTGTGAACCGCAAGCCGCGTCGCCCTCTGACCAGCGCAGCGGTTGCCGGCAGTACGGCTGAGTCGCTTTCATTGCACTTACTTTTTTTCCAGCTTGTAGCGAGCTTTACTCTTTGGGTTTCTGGCGCATCGCTGCCCCTGATAGGAACAGCGCAGCAGCTTGCCACTGTGACTCATTTGTCACCATCCTTGGCCATGCTGCAAACCTGGCCTGGTCACACAGGCGGCCGGCCGCATGCCGCGTCGCTGGCCGCCGCACGACCTGACTCATCACACGCGCAGGGCCCTTAGCTTAGTTCCGTCCCCTGGGCTTATCGCGCTCACGCGTCGCCCACGCGTGGCGTGCCCAGCCTCAACAAGAGTAGCATCACTGTGGCCGCCAACCTGACAAGCGCATACATGGGGTGGGCGCCCCATACACTTCCTGCCATCACAGGCAGCGACCACCATGTCACCTGTTGCTGCGCACCGCACGACAGCACTTGCCCACTCACGGCCGCGCGTTTGACTGTGCAGGGCACGCAGTGCGTGTGTGGGCGGCACACCAGCTCCAGAGTGCCGCATCAGACTCCAATCATCCCCTTCTCAAAGTCACAACACGCTACATACACAGTGCTAGCCTTGGCGGGGGCCTATCAAACCTTTTATTCGACATGCCACAGGTTGCGTGGCATTGACACTGCTTCGTTCAACGCTGTCGCACCGGTCTGCCGCAACCCAGCGACGCCTCAACGGACGGACGTGTCGCACGCACACAGCTCTTCACTTACGACGCCTGCACCCAGGACTGTAGCAGTGCGCCAGAAGTGGCGGTTGGCAGGATGCTCGTGCCACGGCCGCCTGTATCACAAGGTCAATTGCGTCCCAACTCCATGAGCTTAATACAACTGCGCCGCAGTACCGCGCACAGTTGCCTGCGGTGCAGCTCAGCCGCTTTGAACCCTGATTACATAAGACTAGTGTAACCCACCACGCGGGAAGCTGCCCCAGGATTAAGCAGTTTTTGTTGCTGTGATGCGCAGAGAGGCGCAGGGGCTCAGCACTAAAACAGCAGAAGGCCAGCCAGCATAATGCAGTGGAGGCGTATTGGCAGCAAGGAATTATGAAAGAAGAGGGATTGCTGCAAATCAACAGGCAAAGCCATCAATCCACCAATAAATGGGTTAAGTAACCAGCGCAAGAACATGGAACTTGACACGGGCTGCATCGCCCTCCTCTTGACAGCACTGCTCATGCCTGAAATGGGTCGGAACGGGCGGTGACTGAATGACACCGTGCGCCAGGCTCTCGTGCAGTGTAAACAGCCCTGTGGCTGTTTTGGCATGCGCAGGGGTGGGCGGCGTGTGAGGCGGGTGCCTGCAGGGAGGCAATAACCCCCCCAGGCCGGCCGCGAGTGCACGCGCTCGACACCACTGCGGCGCGCCATAGGGTTGACGGCGGGACGCATGGACAGGGCGACCGGGCCCGCAACTGTTTGGCAGCCGACCCAGATTATGACTGATAACACAAGTGAGTAGCTGGGGTTGCCGGAACGAGGGCTGTGAGGGGTTTGATTTGCCTGTCTTGGAGTGGCCGTTGGAGGCGTGAGGGCTCTGCCTGCCGCTCCGTTCGAGTGGTGGGCCTGTGGCCGTCTCGAAGATAAGACGTCACAGCACGGCCTGCCCCTTTTGTGTGCGTGCAAGCAGCCCATGTGCTAGAGCTTTCAACGCAAGCGCCCGGCCAGCCCCTGCGCGTCACGCCGCATCGCCTGCGGCGCTCGCGCTATCCGCGGGAGCGGCGCCCGCGGACGCGGCGGCGGCGGCGGCCGCCGCCAGCGCGGCCTCCATCCTGGAAGTTGCGAGGAAGCTGGGCGCCACGTAGGTGAACCCCTCGAAGGCGCCGGCGTGCGCGGGGTTGCAGGGGGAGCCGCAGGGGCTGTCCACGGGCCGCTGCTCCGTCCACACCTGGGCAGGCACGCAAAGAAGGAGAAGAGAAGAGGAAGACTCGGCATATAAAAGCAGCGCCTCTTGGCCAGCCGCGGCAGGCGCCTGTTTTGACCATTACAGCTGCCACATCTCCCCCCCCCCCCACCGCATTGCCAACATTCCCTGAGCCCGCGAGACTCCAGCAGCCCTGGCCTCCGCCAGGCCAAGCTGCCGCGCCGCACTTCTCCTCCGCCCGCCATCTCGCCCACTCCACCCCCACTATCCCCCCCCCCTGGGTTCCCGACAACAGCAGTGGCGCCTTCAATCAAACGGTGGCCGGTTCCAAAACGGACTGCACGTTTCAGAGCAGGCGCAGTGCCCATCAACCCCCACCTGAAGCCAGCACTCAACCCAGCCCGCCACATCACCACAGGAGGCAGGGCCCCGCCCACCTTGTCAAAGTTCTCAACCGACAACGAATGCGCCACTGGTGGCTTGTAGGGCGACGGCAAGCGGCGCTCCTCCAGCGCCTGCCAGCTGATGCCCTGAGGTAGGTGTGTGTGTGTGTGTTTGTGTGTT